CCCCTGTCCCCCGCCAGGCCCTGCTGGCCGGCTGCTCTCCTGTGAGCGCTGCGCACCCTGCTGGCGGCGCTCCGAACCCCGAGGGTTCCACCAGAAGATCGCCGGGGGCGCGTCGGTCTTTGCGCCTCACAGCCGGGCTCACCTGGAGCCGAGGAGCGGTCTCGGGCGTCCTCGTCAGCGCTGTCCCCGCAGGCTCCGAGGGGCTGGCGGCGGCGTGCTGGCCCGCGGCGGAGGCGGCTTCCGAGCCCCCGGCTTGACGTTGCTGCCCCCTGGCGGCGAGCGGGCACAGCGTCCGGGCGGCGGCGCTCTCCAAGAGCGAGCGCGGGCTGGTACCGGAACCCAGCACCTGCTGGGCAGCAAAGGGACTTGAGATCTGCAGTCGCTTCCACGATACAAAAGTAAAAAATCCCTAAGTTGTGGCTAGTACAATGTACAATACGTATGCATGAAATTTTTAATTTTTATGACCTAATAAACATTACAAATGTATTTTAAACACTATTACAAACTTTGAGCTTCTGCTCAAGTGTCTTTGGAGGTACCAAAACAGTTTAAGGGTAATTATATTTAAATTTATATAATGAAAATTTATATAATTAAATTAAATATAATAAAATTAGACGGTTTGTATCGATTTCCCTACTTAGCAACGTTTTTAGCTGATTGTAACTATAATTTGAAACACCGTGGGGGTAAGCAGAGAAGTCTGCAGGGCACAGGTGCTGGGCCTCTGCGTTACCACGTGGCCTTTAGCTTGGAGCCACCAGGTGCGAAGATACATTTAATTCACACACACCACACACACACACACACACACCAAAAAATAAATAAATAAATAATAAGAGGAAGGAGACACTTGCTCCACAATTTCCTTGGCATATTAGAATTTGAATATACAAATTTTTAAAAATCAAACTAATCTTGAGTTTTCAGGAAGAAAAATAATGAATCTACAACAAGTCAGCTAAGAAAAATGATCAAGAGATTTCACACTATCACTTACATGTGCACTTCGTAGTGGTGCAGATAAACATTTTCAATAAATATTTTAATGTAAGTTAACTATTTAAAAATTTTCATCGTGGTCTTAACCAACCAGCAGAAAAGTACAAAAACGAACTAAAAGAAGTAAAGGCATGCTGTTATTTTGAGCTGTACAGGACTCATGTCAACAACTTCTGACACTGCCTGTCAAGCGGAAGACCCAACACTATTATATACTACTGGACTTTTAGAATATTTTGCTGAATTAACACACCTATAATATTCAAATGATGGAACTAAACAAAAAAGGGGATACAGATAAACATCCATTTTGTATCTGTGTATTCAAAATGGTTAGGATAGATATATAGTTACATTCTCTTAATGAATAGAGGTATTTGTTCTAATAGTGTTTGTAAATAGGATATCATGTCTGCATCTTGTACAACAAATAACCACTAGGAAGAATGTATGCAATGTGTTAATTATTGGAACTGTCCTACCAATTTGATTTGAAACTGTCTCATTGGTATTTGTTTCTCAATAAAATTATGGAAAAAATAAAAAAAATTTTCAGTATTGATATAAAGTGTTGCCTTAAAGAATATTAATTTGTGTGAAAATTAACATATTCAAATAAAAATGTTAATAACAAATGGTATGCAAAAATCCCAGAGGTGACATGCAAATGACTGCGATCTTAAGAAACTGCTATTTCATCTTCAGTGTTTTTAAACTTTTGTTCCGGATCTATCTCCCGCTGAGGAAATGCCTGCCGCATAGTTTCAAATGACTCAAGTATTTATTAATGGAGAGGAAGAGGAAGGTAAGAAAAATAAGACAAAGAAGGGAAGGGATGAACGGCCTGACGCTTCAAGCGCATCGGTTCAGTCTGTTTACTTAAGAATTCACATCGTATTGACATGTATCAGGAGGGATTCAGAGCTCCAGAGCCAAGAAATAAATAGAAAGGAACTGCAGAGGTTGAAAATAAGGTCAGGAAGTCACAAAGTGAAACAACTGAGAAAAGAGAAATAAATATATCTAGTAATAAATAATGTGACACACAAACATTCGGTGGGTGGGGAAACCCTGGACATTCCAGAAAAGACATGCTGGTGACACCAGTCCTCCAAGAGTCTCGCAACAATGCGAGCATAAGATGCTCCTGAGAGCTCTCAGGCAAGCCCACCGGGCCTTTCCTTAGCCCCAACCACCCTAGGCAGTGCTCGGTCCATAATGCCTTCAGGCTCGCTCTCTCTCCCTCTCCCTCCCCCATCTCCCTCCCTCTTCTCTCTCTCCCTTCCCCCTCATCTGTGCTACAGATTGAACCAAGGGACTGCGCACACTAGACAGGCCCTGGAGCACCGAGGCATGCCCTGCTCATGCCATGCAGGAGCCCCAGGGCCTTCCCACGCTGGGGCAGGCAGTACAACCCAGTCCAAAGTCATCGCGCTCCTGCACATAATGATAATGTACCATATATTTTTACAAGTTAAATAAAAGAATTTTAAATTATTTTCACCAAAAACAAGACATGTTCAAGGAGATCAACATGTTTACCCTGATTCAAACACTGAACAATGTATTTATGTATCAAAACATCCCATGAGTACTTTATAAATATGTACAATTTTTCTCTTTCTGTGTATCAGTTTTAGAGGCTAAATCTGCCCTCCAAGAGCACTTTCAGGCAGGCGCTACCTGTTGCGCTCCATTGCCAGCGCCTTCACTGGCGGCTCCTGAGCCTCCACCATCCTCCCCTTCTCCACCCCACTGGCAAAGGCTGCTTCCCTGCCTCCCTTATCTTGACTTGTTGCTCTGCAGACTTCCCGTGACGCCTCCAGATAACTTCAGTGCGTACACAAAAACAAGCTCCTTTGTTGTTATTCTCCACTCTCTTCTCTCTTTGGACTCATAAGTGATTTCTTACAAAACGAAATGTCTCAGATGAATAAAGCCTCTTTGCCCAAGTACTGTTACAACACTCTTGTCTCTCTGATGGAGGCCACTATGAAGTGCCTCTCAGCAGGATTTAAATTCACTGGGTGGCTTTTCATGCTGAGGTATGAGTCTGTCCACCGCTTGGGCCCGCTGTCCACGACAGCAGCGAAGGACACCTGGCTCCAACCTCAGTTAACTAGACACAGGCTGTAGCTGCAGGCACCTCCATGTGGAGAGCGGAGGCCTTCTGGAAACAACGCTGTTCTCCTAAATTAATATGAGGTCTTATACTTGGAGGAGTCCTTGAGTGGTTCCACCTTTCTTCAGTATTCCCATCCTTTGTTTTGATAAATAATATACATGGACCTACCAGAGATCTTTTTCTTAGCCCCAGAGAAACTCAAATTCTGTGAGAGGGCGTCAATCTTCCTGGAGCCCTAAAATCATACCTCTTCACTTGTTTAGTTAAGCCTTTTCGGGCCACT